GGATTTGATATTAAATAAGTTTCATTGATGAACTTATTACCAAATAAGTTCACAAATGAGAACCAGCCCCCAAATTTCTAAAAAATGTGTTTTCGAATTCAATCCATTTAACTGGTGAATCTCAAAGAAATTTAGTCCAATTCAAATCCATTTTACAATTAGGCATCCGGTCTGATAGTTTAGTCCAATCCATTAAACTTGTATCCCGGCAAAATCTCATCAAAGAATAACAATATCCTCCAATTATAATATATTTAAACAAAATAATTTATTCTCATGTTTGAAATACTTATAATTCATGATGAGCTCAAGTTTTATTGGGTCGAACTCAATTAATCAAGTAAGCCCAAATCAACTAAAAGACAAGTCAAACTCAATTCGTGAATTCAATCCAATTCAAGGTTCAAGGAATCTAAAAATAATTAGAGTACGTAGAAAGTAATTATCAGGATACTCACTTTCGAAAATCAATACAACTTCTTATAACATTTACCTTTTGTAGTTATTCGAAAAATTAGTACATTTGTCCTTACATCACCGCCTTAACTAAAAATCTGTGTCTATAAATTGTGAGGTCTTTCTATATGAGAGGGCACCTCTGGATCTATTTCTACATCTCTCTACACACCCTATACATAGTTTTTCTCTTTCCTAACTATTATATCCCTCCCGGAGCTAACAATTGTTCTCTCTCGTTCACCTTATTTTATCAATAAAGGTCTTTCGGCCACCGTTGTTATTTTTTGGAGTAGAATACATTACTCAAATCGAACCACCATATATTTGTGTGTTAACTCGATATTTACATTATTGTCATTAATTGTTCTATTAATTGTCCATTAATTACATTTTATCACACACTCGACTGTTGATTTTGCATAAGCCTATTTTGTGCATCATCCATTCATGTGCTTTAATTTATGATGAAAATTTGAACAAAAATCTAGGTGAAAGCTACATTGCTATCAATTTATAACATTGAGGGAGTAAATTAAAATTTTTAATACTCGAGGGTATAAATTGAGAATTAAAATATCTTTTTGTGGTATAAAGTGAGATTAAACCCAAATGAAAGTACATGCGTTGGAAAAAAGAAGAAGAGAGGATTGTGAATCAAATGTAGACCGCTCGATCCCTTGGCACACTAGACAGCTGATTAGGCCTCATGTTTAAAAGGTGAGGGTTAATACATCATACAATATCCAGTTAGGGTAGTATTCTTATGATGTAGACAAATCATTTTGTATCATCATACGGCTCACCACGACTAGTCGTATGATTGATCTTTTGACAATTGCATATTTTTTGATGTTGAAAATTAATGCACGGCATAGCCCAATCATAATTAATCTCGTTTGAAGCATAGATATATACGATATTTTTATCCACTCGTCTATGCTTTTGGATGTCTATTCCCATTTAAGTTGGTATACAAATTATTAGCGGTAGAAATCGCGCGTTCGAATTTTATTCTTAAAATTAAGAATTCTGGCTGACCTAGACTCTTTTCTAGGGTAATCCAGTAGCTTTTACCTCTCGGTGTCCGTACGGAGCTTCATCCCACATCGACTGAGAGTGATCTCTCCCATCCCCTTATAAGCCTGAGCCCCTTAGGAATGGATACCCACGATCAAGTGCTAGTGGATAGCCATTCCTAAGGGGCTCAGGCTTATAAGGGGGTGGGGAAGATGACTCTCAGTCGATGTGGGACGAAACTCCACACAAGTACTGAGAGGTAAAAGCTACTAGATTGCCCTAAGAAGGGGTCCAGATCAGCCAGAATCCTTGAGTTTAAGGATGAGATCCGAACACGCAATTTCTACCCCTAACACAAATTATCTCAACTATTTGAGATAATTTGGTAAGTGGGTACCAGAAGGCTTGGTAAGATATGTTTGGTAAAAATAGTTCAAATGATCCCCAAATTTTATGTTTGGATTAAAAATTCAATTTTGAGTTCTAAAATTAGGCCCGTAATTAACCCGAATATTAAATCCATAATCGTGAGTTTCGTCAAACCTATAAGAGGTGAGTTTGACAAGATAGGTTAAGGGGTTAAGAATGCAAAAGACATTTGTATCTCTTAACATAAATATGAATTTGATTGATCAAAAGTAAAATAGTCATTTATACGACAAAATGGTTGTTAATAATTATGATATTATCTATAAGTTTTACATGTGTATATATTGCATACCAAACATGAGTATAGGCTGGATTCAACATTGAATCTCATCTTTGTAAAGAGGGGTTTGAGTTTAGAAAGATTTGAGGAAGCCAATACAAACTCTCCCCAAAAATCTATTCAAACAAACATTTAAGGTTTGATTTAAAGCCAGTTTAATCAATATTTTTATATATTGAAAACGTCTGAATGTTGAGTTCAACAAACTATGATTTAATATTTTTATATTAGCAGCCACTCCAGTACGATGCACAAAAATAACAATATCCGTCATTTACAGTTACTCGATACCCCCACCCCCAACAATCTTAGAAACACACACATAAAATGTGCTAATATAATTTTTAAATATAATTAAAGTAGTTGCCAAAAATAATGAAATGTGAGTAATTGGCAAAAATGATAAAAATAGTTATCAACCAATTCCACCCTCCCCCTCCTAAGTAGGCAAAAAAGTTTAATTGAAGAAATTCATTTAAGTAATTCAAAATCATAAAAATAGAGTATTTGAAAAAGAAAATTTTCTAAAATCCTTTCTCGTGAAATTTATTTATTATATATGATAATATATATAAGAATAGAAATATATGATTTCACGCTCTTGAAAATAGGAGTCAAACGTGAACTATTATGTGTTCATATTCTACTATAAAATGGAGCGTTCGAAAGAAATAATTTAGACTTGGTGGAGTCCTGCAGGTTCGGGCATACTACAGACCAAGGAAATTCAAAAATTTTCTTGCACCTTATAGTCTATAGAGTCTTGAAATGTTACTGTTTAAGATTTATATCAAAGGGCCACATAAAGGATTATCCTATCCACCTACTTATCCATCAGTGGGTTTAATCACGAAAGATACAAATTGGTATAGTCACAATTCACAACTATTCGACGCCAGCATGGAATAATAAATCTTAAATGCACTGGAACCCACCGACCCATTCGCCCTTTAGCCGCCAAACATTGGTATCTGACTATTCCTCACTTAAATTTTAATAGTAAAGCTTTGGATTTTCTACTAAAATCCCACCAAATACCCTCCACCCAAAAAACAGTCCCATTTTTTTTATTTCCACTAAATATTCACCACTCAATTTTATTTTTTTTAAAAAAAATGAAGATGAATGATAATTTTGTACTCTAAATGTTGTTTAAAATTTTTAATTCACAATTAAAATATTTATATTGCACACTCAATATTATTAAATGTATTTTTTACTTTTTTGCTAACTCCAGTATCTATTTCCGTCAAATTTTGTGTTAAGTGTAATAAGTAAGAAAGGTTATGACATCGAGGGAGCAATTTAAATAGATTAGAATTAATGAGATTATTTGACATTGGAAGGTGAGTTGTATAGTATTGGGAGTGATGCATATATATAATATTTTTGAGTGGGAGAAAAAATTTTATGATGAATTTTGTACTATTGGATTTAAATAAATGAATATTGAATCAACCTTAATCGTTGTTGTACTTTTATAAATTGAGAATTTAACTTTGTAATTGTAATATTAAAATAATTAATTTTTGAGGGTATAAATTAAAANTAGTTTGTAATTATAATATTAAAATAATAAATTTTTGAGGGTATAAATTAAAAATTGTAATTTTTCTTTTGAGATATAAATTATTATGGGCTAATTTCACTTTGAATCCCGAAAGATATTTTGATTTTTAATTTGTACTTTTAAACATTAAAAATTTAAATTTTAGTTAATTATACCGGAAATCCTCAAAGTATAAAATTTGTCTCATTTTTGTCCCTAATATTTCAATTGATTTATTTTTGTTCATGAAGTATTAAATATGTTTCTACATGATCCTTCAAATAGACAACATCTAGATTGCTAACGATTTCTTATCATAAACTTGTCATGTAATACCTAAATATGAACAAAAAATAATTTTAATAGCTTTGAAACAAAATTTGGGTAACTCTTGACAAAAAAATGTGTAATATGGATAGCTTTGATCAAAATTTGGTGAATAATTATCAAAATTATTTTTTTGTTCATACTTAAGCATCACGTGACAAGTTTATGATAAAAAATCGTTAATAATTTAGATGTTATCTGTTTAAGGGACCATATAAAAACATATTCAATAATTTAGAGATCAAAATGAGGCAATTAAATATTTTGAACTAAAATAAAACAAATATCATACTTTAAGGACTTCCAATGTAATTAATCCTTTAAATTTATACCTTCAATGTGATGAATTAATAGTAATATAGATATGACCTAGACTGTCTTTTAATTTTTCGTTATAAATTAAAAAAAAATTAGAAGCAAGTATTTCAGGCATAAGGATGAGGTATGTACATCGCTATAGATCTTCGCCGTAAATCAGTTTGATACCATTTTGTGTATCGAAAATAGGATTTCATTAATCAGATAGAGACTAACCTTATCATGTGCAACTCACATGATGCACCAAAAATTTGTAAATTTGCAACTCAAGTGATTTAATTTTAGATGGGAAATTGAACGACAGTATGGACGAGATCCATATTGCTACCAATTCATAATATTAAGAGTGAAAATTAAAATTTTTAATATTTAAAAGTATAAATTAAGAATTAAAGTATTTTTGAGGGTATAAAATGAGATTAACCCCAAAAAGAAAAAAAAAAGAAGAGAAAAGAAATAGCATCCATTCCATACACGTAGCAACCACCATATTCCCCCTGGAAAATATTCGTGCCGTGCCGCCTGAACCAGACGGACTATACCCTTTTGTATCCCACTCCTCGAGAGTCCAGACTCAGAATCAGCTGTGTTTAGGGGGAGAGAGAAAGAAGGGTGTTAGGGATGGTTTGTTCAGGTCAAATTTTGGCTGCTTCTTATTCACCGACGCCGTCGTTGCCGTACAATTCACGATTTTCGTACTCCAGATTTCTCCAGGGAAGGATCAAATCAAACCTCAAATGGCGATCTATGGCGTCGGAGGCCGATTCGTCTTCTTTTGCGCCTTCGATCGACTCTGATTCAACCGATAAAAAAGCCGATGGGTAGTCACTATCTACAGATTATTGATTTGCGTACATTTTTACGTATACAATAAACTACTGATTTGAAATTCTGCTATTTAAATATAAGTAACTTTCAATTATTTTTGATTTAGCTTACTCCGCTTCAATTGTGAAATCATTATTTTCACTAATCCTTTTTTTTTTTTTTTTGTTGGTTATAGATAAATAAAATATTCATGTATTTAGTTTGTAGTGTTTTCTCTAGGGTTACAAGTGAATGAAATCTTAAAGTGTTTTAAAAGAGTGATTTTCTTGATTTATGCAGCTTCTGTATCATTGAAGGACCTGAAACAGAGCAGGACTTCGCCAAAATGGAGTTGCTAGAAATTCAAGATAATATTCGAAGTCGTCGGAATAAAATCTTTTTGCATATGGAGGAGGTGAGCTCCTGGGATAGTATATTTGTTTAAATGCAGCTGTGTTAGTTTGTCCGTTTTACCTTGCAATTCTTGTATTAGTGTGCTTAGTATCTTCAATTTCATTGTTAACTTTAGTGTGCTTAATTCGTCTTTTTCCATCTTGTTATATCCGGCACCACTTCTATTTTTTTATAGAACGTAGGGATCTTATATAGTTATTTAGTCATTCATGCTTTATGGCATCATGTTGATGATGTTTGTATGCTTGAATTTTATAGGTTCGCCGGTTGAGGATACAACAGAGAATTAAGAGTGCTGAGCTTGGAATCATAAAGGAGGAACAAGAGAATGAACTTCCTAATTTCCCATCATTCATTCCATTTTTGCCACCGTTGGTAAGCTTTGTAGTATCTATCAACTGTCTTTGTCTTTATTTTTTCATCTGTTATGTGTTAAAATGATTTTTCCGATGGTGACTAATATACATTTCATGCAGAGCTCAGCAAATCTTAAGCAATATTATGCCAGTTGTTTCTCTCTCATAGCTGGGATTATTGTTTTTGGCGGTCTTCTAGCACCTACTGTAAGTTTTTTTACACTTAACTATGAGAATTGTTGAGCTAAATTATGAGAAATTAAGGCGTGTTCCAATTTTTAACCCCAGCCTGACTATAGGTGTATGTCAATGTACAAGAATGTCGGTCTTTTTTGTAACGCATGCATAGTTTCATAACAATGTCTTTTAAACGATAATACCTTGTGATTCAACCAATACATTCCAATTAGATATTATTTAATTGATTTTCGTCTTGTTATCAAGATGGCTGAGTGTTTTCAAACTTATTCAAGAAAGATGAATGTTTTCAAACTGATAAATGTTTTTCCATGCATTTTCTTGGATCCATTTCTCATGTCTGAAGGTCAATGCAGTTTCCTGTTGCTTAGATGTTACTTAATACGTGAAGCCCATGGTTATAGTTTACATTGAGAAGATGAGCAAAATAATGTTCTGATCTAGAAGAAGGCCTCNTCTGAAGGTCAATGCAGTTTCCTGTTGCTTAGATGTTACTTAATACGTGAAGCCCATGGTTATAGTTTACATTGAGAAGATGAGCAAAATAATGTTCTGATCTAGAAGAAGGCCTCAAGGCTGCAAGTGACAGTTGAGAAGATTCTATGCAAATGAGCATCATGAACTGAGCAAGATACTGAGCAAGATAGGCCACTAACCATTGGTTGCTGTCATCGATATTTTTTATTTCTTCCATGTACCCTTTTTTGTAGAATAAATGCAAATGAGGACCATAAGTGAATTAAAAATTAAAATTTCATGATGAAATCAATGTATCCTAGTGAGATTCAGATCTACTGCTGAGTAAGTTTACTGAAAAATGAGGATCAGTTTCACTAGTGTTGGAAATATACAAATGAGTCCAGTGGCATATCATGCATTTCCCGTATTTTTAACAGGGTTTGTACTTTCCTTAGAAGATAGATTGACATGATGCTGACTGTAGCACTTAAACTGGGTGAATTTGTCAGAGATCTCTAAGTTGGATTGTTTTCATCAACATGACTGTAGCTGGTAATATGCTAGATGGCTTAGAGTCTGAATAAGGGAAGAATCAGTGGAATATTGATGCAGTTCCAGACAAGATGGAAGGAAGCTGGTTAAGATAGTGTGGTCATTTAGAAGGAAGGCAATATTGTTCAGGTTGAAGGTGTCCCAACTGTATAGGACCAGAGAAGATATGGGCTTAGATAGCACAATAAGAACTCACTGAAATCTACTTTTATCCAAAAGATGACCTAGGAAGCTTTGTTGTGTTCTCTTTGCTTGAAAGCAGATTACGTGTCTATAAAAAGCAAAGGATAATGTCATACATATGATATTGCCTTCCACTACTGTACTGCAAAAGAAGCGACAAGATTATGTACAAAGGTTTTCTGCAGATGTCCCTTAAATTATGTGTCGTTCACTACATTGGTGCCCTTCTGTTCTAAGTCCAAAAGAGTGTGTTTTTAATGTTGATTTGAATTTTCGTGACACGTGGCTAAGTGCAAAAGTAGGAAAAATCAAAACAATTTTTGGAACTTGGAAGCCTATTAACTAGAAAGAATACAATAGTGATAAAGGCGGAACTGCTTCTGATATAGTTAGTGACAGTTGTTAGTTATAGGAAGGGCGGAATATTGTTTGGTGTGTTTCTCTATTCATGAATTTGGATCACCGTCAGAATGTAGCTGAAGATGATCTTTGGCTATGTAGTTGATGATAGGTCTCATATTACATTGCCATGCTAATTTGAACTGCTTATATCTTCACCCCTTGTACCCTTCCTCTGTAAATTGTAATAAAATCAGGGTCAAGCTAATGAATAAAAACCTGTAATGTTGGAAGAACAGATACTCAAGTTTTACAATGTAGCAACTTTCAGCAGTTTTTTTTGTCTTCCGTTTTGAATAGTTGAATCACTGTTACAAGAATTGGTGATGTCTATCAGATTCTTTGTGTTATAACAATTTGAAATTATGATGGCTCTTACAATGATATGAAGCCCATCTAGTTTCTTACCCTGCACTTTCTTTTTGATTTGTTCTTTCAGCTGGAGCTAAAACTGGGACTAGGAGGCACATCATATGAAGATTTTATCCGTAACATGCATCTGCCCATGCAGTTGAGGTATGTGTGATTGTGGGGTGTTATTACTTCATTTCCCTTTGTTTTTAGTTCCTTCCTTTTTTTTAAAGAAAATCTGATTTGCCTTTTTTTTGACTTGGACAATGCATATTGACTAGCTTGTTGTTTCTGCATTTGGTTCCTTCAGACTTCCTGGGTAGGTTGAATGTTTTTTTGAGAAATTGAAAGGAAAGATTCTGTGGAAGGTTGTTCACGAGATATTGAACTTGGAAAAAATCAGTAATAATTCATATGTGAATCAAATAGAGAACTTAAACTAGGCATCTCTTAAATGCTTTAAGATTGCTGTTCTCCAGAACCAAATTGGTACGATATATTTAAGATAAATGGAACTATATGAGCTGTTGCCTCGTGTAGAAGTAAAGAAGTTTTGACTTCTGTTAGGTTCATTTCCATCTACAAATGTAGTATGACTGGCATTGGATCCATTCTAAAGGATTCTTCTGTGCTTTAAGGTTGATGGAAGCATTTAAAATTGTACCGATTTGCATAGGATGTTATGCATTTCGGTAGAAAATGGTTTCTTCAAGATTCAGGACCTAACAAGCATTCAATACATTTTAAGATGTCTGGTGGCTACTTGATTGTCAAACATCAATGGGCTTCCTAACTTTTTGGGGATGCTAGGGTAGGACTCCTGAACTTTCATGTTACTTTTGACAATACTTTTTCAAGATATGTCCCATAAGATATCTATAAATTTCAGTGCTTTGATTCTGTCAACCTTCTTTCTCAGTGGAACATGAAAAGAGTGTTTTTCATCCATTTTGCTATCATAGATGGATATGTAAAAGTGGAAAATTAATTTAAAGGGTTCTTAATATTTCAGAATTATAGAATGAGAACCATATGTAATTATTCACTACATTTATCTTAAATTATGTAAATACAATGTTGCTTTTAGTTTTTAACATACTTAGGAGTTTTTCTTTTCTTTTTTTTTTTCCGGAAAATTTAGTCAGGTTGACCCTATTGTGGCATCATTCTCTGGTGNGTTTTTAACATACTTAGGAGTTTTTCTTTTCTTTTTTTTTTTCCGGAAAATTTAGTCAGGTTGACCCTATTGTGGCATCATTCTCTGGTGGAGCTGTTGGGGTGATCTCAGCATTGATGGTAGTTGAAATAAATAATGTAAAACAGCAGGAGCATAAAAGATGCAAGTACTGTCTTGGAACAGGTATGCATGTTGAAACACAAATTTAAGTCGCACANTGGAGCTGTTGGGGTGATCTCAGCATTGATGGTAGTTGAAATAAATAATGTAAAACTGCAGGAGCATAAAAGATGCAAGTACTGTCTTGGAACAGGTATGCATGTTGAAACACAAATTTAAGTCGCATATGCCTTTTAGTATCTTTGTTTGGCGTGGTTGAAAATTTTTAAAATGGTTGCTATGTTTTGCTTAATATCATGCTATACCCTCCAGGATTTTTTAATTCCTCAATTGTTATGTAATTGGCAAGACCCGTAATCCTGGTGGAAAGTCTTAACATATTCTTGGCTGCCAAATGGGTTATCTTCATCATTCCTTGACTTCCCACAGGGATAGTTCCCCACTAACGTCAACTTNGTTTTGCTTAATATCATGCTATACCCTCCAGGATTTTTTAATTCCTCAATTGTTATCTAATTGGCCAGACCCATAATCCTGGTGGAAAGTCTAACATATTCTTGGCTGCCAAATGGGTTGTCTTCATCATTCCTTGACTTCCCACAGGGATAGTTCCCCACTAACATCAACTNAAGACCCGTAATCCTGGTGGAAAGTCTTAACATATTCTTGGCTGCCAAATGGGTTATCTTCATCATTCCTTGACTTCCCACAGGGATAGTTCCCCACTAACGTCAACTTTCCCGAATTAGAATGTTTACAATTTACCTTTTTGGTCAGCATGTTTTCTTTCTCTCTCAGAATATGACCAACAAACAACCTATGATTCAAGTTGATAATCTTTAATATTAGGACAGAGGAATGTACAGGGCACTTATAAACTGGTTATCTGATTGATGCAGGCTATCTTGCTTGTGCTCGCTGTTCAAGCTCAGGAGCACTTGTTCTTATTGAACCAGTCTCAACACTTAATGGCGGGGATCAGCCTCTGTCGCCACCTAAAACTGAAAGATGCCCGAACTGTTCAGGAGCAGGAAAGGTTAGCTCCTGGAAATTTGGTTTCATATATTCAGTTTTTGATTGATTGTATACTAGTGGGAGAATAGCTTTTCCTTGTGCTGGTATTAGGTATGTGGTCTAATACAATGTGTGTGAATTTTAACCTGTCTTTCGAAGTTTTTCAATTTGGGCTGGAGTTTTCTCATGCGCCTTTCTATTTTGTAGGTCATGTGCCCTACATGTCTTTGTACAGGGATGGCTATGGCAAGTGAGCACGACCCAAGGATTGACCCTTTTGACTAGAGATGCAGATGATTTTGCTTCTCCCTGTTGTTGGTTAAGATGTGATGCTTTTCTACTGCATTATATTTTTCACCTGGCTATTTTCTGTACATAATCTGCTCATTAAAATTATAACTGCCCACGCCCACACCCACGCCCACGCCCACATATGGTCCAGAATTAGTTTTTCTGCCGCCACGGACTCGCATTTTGAAAAACTATTTACCTTTTGTATGACCTCAATAATATATGTTATTTTTTATAGTAGGAGCAGTTTGCCACAAAAATGATGGAAGGCTGGTTCTGGTTCAGGTAATCCGTAAAAATGTACGCTACTTGATTGTTGCTATGAACGGCAAGGTCCCGAACAAAGTGGTAGATTGGTGTTAAAATTGGCTAATTCTATGCCAACAGATGTCATACAGTTGAAGGCACATCGATTCTAAGGAATAATTGGACATAAAACANTTGCCACAAAAATGATGGAAGGCTGGTTCTGGTTCAGGTAATCCGTAAAAATGTACGCTACTTGATTGTTGCTATGAACGGCAAGGTCCCGAACAAAGTGGTAGATGTCATACAGTTGAAGGCACATCGATTCTAAGGAATAATTGGACATAAAACATCTGTAGATGCCTTCTAAGCGCACGTCAAACTCTAGTATTCAACTAGACAAGTGGTAAAAAAAAAAAAAAAAAATATTAATACTTACTCTTTTGAACTTTCAGAAAAAATGGNTTCTAAGGAATAATTGGACATAAAATATCTGTAGATGCCTTCTAAGCGCACGTCAAACTCTAGTATTCAACTAGACAAGTGGTAAAAAAAAAAAAAAATAAATAAATAAATTAATACTTACTCTTTTGAACTTTTAGAACAAATAGAGACATAACAGGTGAAATTGACAAAAAACTTTAACTATCAAAATTGATCATTAAATAATTAAATTGAAANAAAAAAAAAAAAAAAAATATTAATACTTACTCTTTTGAACTTTCAGAAAAAATGGAGACATAACAGGTGAAATTGACAAAAAACTTTAACTATCAAAATTGATCATTAAATAATTAAATTGAAATAATTAAGAGTTCAAAAATCATTTTAAAACATAAAATTTGAATAATTATGATACTTACCCTTCAAATAAATATCTTAATTTAAATTAATGAACATAAATTATACACATGACGTCCAATGGTAAATCCCATCAGAAATAATATGGACCAGTAAAAAGTGACCAAGGATCACACCGTCAGTGTATAATTACANTTACCCTTCAAATAAATATCTTAATTTAAATTAATGAACATAAATTATACACATGACGTCCAATGGTAAATCCCATCAGAAATAATATGGACCAGTAAAAAGTGGCCAAGGGCCATCTCTTTGTTACAGTGATTTATATTGTTCAATCAAATGAGAAGCATGGAGACGGGATGTGGGGACCACTGTGCACCCTAAATTCTTTAGATATCCGATCTGCCATTGAACAGGAGAAACATATAAAACAATTAGTTTGAAAAGAGTACGAAATATAATTCACCTCACCATTGTTCCATTGCAATAAAATGTAATTTTTGTTTTATTGTGGGAATAATCTTATTTTATACGCCAAAAGATTTAAGATTTCTCCTATCATATCTTCAAANTAAAATGTAATTTTTGTTTTATTGTGGGAATAATCTTATTTTATACGCCAAAAGATTTAAGATTTCTCCTATCATATCTTCAAAAATTAAATTTTTCACGTTATACTCTCAAAATATTAAAAGAATTATAAAATGATCATTCCATTAACTTCTGTTACTTATTCTCTTAAAAATCACAACAACAAAATGAATAACCAAATAGTAATATTATTACATTTTTAGTACATTAAAAATAAAATAATTTTTAAGGGTACAAAGTGAAATTCACTCTTTATTGTTTCTAATAAGGTTGGGCATCTCAAATTAACGCTAAAACTAGATAGAGATAATAACAAGGTAAATTTACCCAGAAAGTCAAAAAATGAATCCTAAAATCAATGGTCGGTGAGTAGAGTGAGCTTAAATCAACCAAAGGTGATCCTAATCTTCTAACGTATAATATAAGCTCACTCCACTTTTTTTTAATATGCATTTATTGAACATGATATATCTATGGGGAATCGAATTGATAATAACCACGGGCCTTCATTGAAATTAATTCTATTTGCTATCGAAAAAGAGGAACGAAAATTGTTGCGTGGTTTCATCTATGAAACTGAGGGCTCAGGCCTGCAGTGCATTATTAGGAGCTGAAAACAAAGGTCTAAATCACAATTGCTTTGAGCTTTGTTAATATGTTGACGACGATGAACGTAAAGGCAGAAAAATATGCACATTTGTAGAAATGAAGTTCGAAAGAGTTCATGTAGTATTTATCTCATGAAGCTCTAGACACTCATCCTGATAAACTTAAACCATGAATTAATGACTAATCTAAAGTAGTTTTTAAACAAAATTATCAAACTACGATTTAAAAAAAAAAAAAGCAATGTCAATAGACCTGCTTTTGCTAAAAAGTGAGGTCAACAACGCCACTTTTAAGTTCAAACGTGTTCAATGCTTTGGTCGGAGATTGCTTCGACGGCACTTTTATTAAAATGTCGTAGTTTGATAATTTTGTTTCAAAACTGCCATAGATTGATACTTAATTCCTTAAACCATACCATGAATGAGTCTTCACCATAGAGGGGCACTTGCGAGATTCTGAATAAAATCAATGAGCGAATGTTGATTACCTGTTTAGAAGTAGCTGCTGATGAGCCCATTGCGTTCTCGATTCTTAGTTTTTGAAAATGTTCCTGAAAGAGGAAAAAAATAGAATAAATAGGACACTTACACTTATATCAAAGAAACATTATGGATAGATGCATGAAACAAAAAAAAAAAAGAAAAAAAATGCATCGTGTCAGTGATTGTATGTAAGCAGTGTGCATNAGAAAAAAAATGCATCGTGTCTGTGATTGTATGTACGCAGTGTGCATTCTCGCATATACAATAAGCAAGAAAGACAATCAAATACAGATAACAATTACATCCATAATTTATACCTAGACAAAAATCGTAAGTTTAAAATTAACTTATGATCATACGCAACAATACCAAACTACTATAGGTACATTCGGTATTTCAGATTTATCAATTATATGCTTAATGTTTAGTATATTAGCAATTTTCTTGAAAAAGTGGATTGAAAAAAAATAATGAATGAATTTCTCATTGCATGAAAATGTTTTGTGCCACTTTACCTGTTTCTCCCTCATTAGATAAGCACGCCTATCAGAAGGAATTTGCACCCACTTTATAACCTTGTTGGGAAGAAGAAAAAAAATCATTAAAAAAGAACTCTGGACAATGGTTACAACTTTATTTTTGTGCACACTTTTGTTATAGCATAATAAAGGCAATAAGTATTCCCTCTGATGATAAGCCGCCATGTACTAAGCTTGGTGGGGGTGTTTTGATGCATATCATATACTTGCTACAACCAAAACTTTCCAAATTTTTAAGGTAAAACTTACATATTCAGCATAGTGAAATGCCTCATCACACCTTAAGTCGGACTTCAAAGCACGCAACACTTCCTGAAAAATTATGGAAGAGTCAATTATTTGGTAATCTAATTCTGAGTAGACATGCATGGGTAAGACCAAATGTCCGTGTATGTGCATGAGATTAACCTGAAGGAGAAAAAATCTAATTGTAGACACACCCCTAAGTTACAATCTTTGCGACTTTGCTTCAAGCAACACAGCAGAATTGTATTTACAAAGTTTACTATGCGATCATTAAATTATATTAATCCCACTGGACAGATCCTGTTAACTCCCAGGTGTCCTGTTCATTTAATTTCCAACTACACTTCCCATAGGGTTATTAGAGAGAGTTTGGGACTCCAGAAGGCACAGAGACAAAGACGTAAAAAACAGAATCAAATGGTCTAATTTCATATGGGGACACAGAGGAAGAAAAAGATGTATTTCACAAAAGACAAAGGATTAAGCCGCACAACCTTGTGTGTGCATTTCCGGCCTCTCATACGCTCGTCAATGACAAAGGCAACCTGTAAAAATTGTTGAATCAAACAAAAAGACAACCAGTAAATACAATTGCATGAAACATATACACTTACCAAAATCCCGTTGCATCACATTGTACTGCAATTTTGAAAGTGACTGAGAGAGTGAGCATAAACATACAATATTTCGTGTTCCTCTTGTACAGCCATATGTTTTGCTTGATAATCTTGTTTTGAATGTTCCATGTTATAATGAAATCACTAAGTTTTCGATTTCATCTATAATATTGTTAGCTACATTATATTGCCTTTAGGTAGGCCAGATAAAGAAGGGGATAACTACAAGCTCAAGCAATCTAGCCCCACAATCCGGCAAGAGATGAATTCACAACTTAAGTGAAAAAATGAAAACTCTCATACAGATGCCACATATGTAAGCAGCAACATTGTGAATGCATATCCCTTTTCAAGACCACTACCATGCACTACTGGAGAGAATGTCTCAATGCAGGAATTCCATCGGGGGAAGAGCCAAAGGCAACAAAATTGAAGGTTTTCCAAATGACTTCTTAAAACACAAACAAACAAGGAACAATATTCAAGTCAGTTTTGTTGATGGACGTCTACAACCAAATCCACATACAGCAAGAAAATTGCCTGTGCAGTATGCATAGGAAATGAAAAGACTTAAAGCACCATAAAGGCTGCAAAACATATTGCTAAGTCATAATTCTAAGCAACATAGTCACTGATGATAAAGAATATGCCTGATGAGTGTAATCAAAATGCTGGTTGTTATTTCCAATTTTGAATGAATACAAGTTTGAATAGTTTGACGAGAAAGAAATGGCAGGAAGTAAAATAAGGGAAAAATGGGACTCGAAAACAAAAGCAGNCGGTGGTTGTTATTTCCAATTTTGAATGAATGCAAGTTTGAATAGTTTGACAAGAAAGAAATGGCAGGAAGTAAAATAAGGGAAAAATGGGACTCGAAAACAAAAGCAGACAACCAAAAAACGTCACCTTGGCTCAACTTTTTTTACCTATAATCTATATACTTTCATGCACAGAAGTAATTCCATGATTAAATGGAGAGATGTATCTGAATAAATCAGTCCAACACATAGAAAGGAAATAGGAAAAAAATTGTGTCCTTCACATCAGCAGATCGTAGCAGAGCACAAAGGAAAAAAATAAAGAAAAGTTGACTAAAACTCACCTTGTCAAGTAACCTATTTGGGTCTTGAAATGCTGCCTTCTTAGCCCATTGATGGAACAAATGGGAAACAACTGCACGGTCCTCCGTTCTAAATCTGCAAAATCATGATAGATAAATCAATAAAAAGGTAAGTCCTATTAGCGTTATAGTTAGAAATATTTTGCCTTTAATTCAAAATGCTACCCATCACATCAATATTTGGATAGAACCTTCTTAAAAAGCTATTTCCGTTGCAAGCCTCAATTCCCTCGACAGACACTTTGGATGCGTCATCTATATTAATAGAATCATTTAGCACCACATTCACTTCTGAAGATTCCATTTCCCTTGGTAGACCGGCATTAGACTCGGAAGTTGTTTTTTGAGGTTGCTGGTGATTTGTTTGCAAACTTCTTAAATTTAGATCACCCTACATAAGAATGGCCATCCACCAAGAAGATAAGCGATTAACGTCGAAAAGAATTCAAAAAGAAGCATTTGAATGTTGAGCATCACAGGAATTCAAAGTTAACACCATTTTGACTGCAAAAATGTATAAAAATGAAAGATTGAAATCAAAGGGCAAGTGATGTCTCCTCAGAAACAACAATGTGCGATATTTGGTCAAGGGAACCCGTGTATGGAATACTAATTCCTTCACTCATACTGTCAAACATCATTCGTTCTTCTGCAATTGGTTGTTTCACCAGTCCTGATATGCTGTTGTGCTTAAACAAGTACATCACTGAATCAACATCTTAGACATAATACTCAGTAAGGAACATCTAGCTTTGGAGTTTCCAACACATACTCAGCTGGAATGTTATCATGGTCCGCAAATACAGCAAGTGTACAAATACATGTCATGCATATTAGAGTTAACCAGATGCCAACAGGCAGAGTTTACGTATTTTCAAAAGTCTGAAGAAACAGAAAGTTTAACAATTTAATCGATTTGGCTTCTGCAAATGATTGGATGATCTCTATGAAACAGCTTCAGAAATAAAATTTGACCATGTCTACAGAAATACATGGATCCATGTAAAATTGAGCACCTGTAAATTTGCAAGTCTACATGATTATGGATCCATTTACTGTTGGAATCTGAAATATTTTGTGTGCTTAGTTTCTTTTTATTTTTTCACAGCCTCAACTATGCCTATTTTAAAACATCCTCTTACCATTGGACCACCTTCAACCCGAACCATGTCATTTAATATTTAGGCTGCGCAACAGTTGGAATTCATAGCAGAAGAATAACAATAGAGAAAGTTCATAAAATCTGTACTATTTCCACTTCATGCAAATAAAAAATCAACCATTCACTTTTGCTGAAGACCAATAACTAAAATGATAGAGACCCAACCAGAAAAATCATCAAATACTCGATATCTGCCACTAGAAGTTGTATTAGAGGTTTCAAAAATTAAAATCAAAGAGAAGATTTTAGAAAACAGATGAGACGGAAGCTTTAACCATCATCTTTCTTACAAATAGATAGTAGTTATGTAATTGGCAAGCANACTAGAAGTTGTATTAGAGGTTTCAAAAATTAAAATCAAAGAGAAGATTTTAGAAAACAGATGAGACAGAAGCTTTAACCATCATCTTTCTTACAAATAGATAGTAGTTATGTAATTGGCAAGCATGAGTTATATCCCATGCAAAACATTTGAGCCAAGAAATACATGGATCTTTATATATTTTTAGTACAACTCTAACGTTGACAACCCAAAATTTTGAAATTTGGTAGTAAAGCACACCTGAACCTCCTGAAGATGATCCGGAATTTCTCTTATAAAACGTGATGGTTGAAGAACCTGCAAGAGCCTAAATTGTCACCCAAACAGAACATTAAATGACCAATGGAGCATCAGAACACTGTTTTTCTAGTAATAAAAAAATGCCAACGACACGCCCTTTGAACTCATGACAATGTACACAATCACCCACAAACCACACATTGGGTGAGTCAAGGCTCTCTTTGGAGAATTATACGTGGGACTTCAAGGAAGTGACCCATGAAGTCTTCCCATCCAAGCTATTCACACATAGTACTAGGAAAATGTTTCGTAGATCTGACCTGCCAATTTGAATCCATAATAACATATAGGATGAAAAGCTTTTTCCGTGCTCGAGTCATCGCCACATATAACAAGCGTCGCTCCTCCTAAGATCACCGGAAGAAAATAAAAATTTTAGTATTTGAAAGAAGTTTTCCTTTACTAAGGCTAATATATGCAAAAAAAAATGATAACATTAAAGGCAAAGGAAATCCAAATACTGGATTGTGCTTACCTCAACTGAGGTACCATTTTCTTGTGCAACACCATTAAATTCATGCAACAAGGGAATCTCAGATTCATTTGCCTAAATCATGATCCAAGCATTAGTGCCACTTATAACAACTTCTAACCAGAAAAAGTGGTTATAAGTTTTAGGAAAAGATTTTCTCATGACCATTCAAAAAGCAAAGTATCAAGTAATTATAAAGTCAGACATCAATCCTCTATCACCACAAGTAGAGCTCAACAGTACTGTGATTTTGTGAGAAGTCTCTCCTTCAACATATTGCAAGTTAAAAACTATTTTCTCCAATCCGTTTTTAATATCCGTCTCCTTGCCAAATGTTTCAGAATGCATATTGTCAGTCCTATTTTGTTTCGAAAGTACATTCAACACCACACTCCAATATATTGTCTAAGTTCACTGGTTCCACCGAATACTCTATCTCTGACAAAGACCGTGTGAGTGTGCAGTTATGCTTCAGATGCTTCGCCATAGAATAGATTGACCCAGTTATCATTCTTTTCCGGTGCACTTGCTTTATATCTCCGACACACAAGGAAGGCCGTCGTGGTTCAAAGTATCAATCGATACCGATACCGATATGAGTTGATCAAGTTGTATCTGATTCGGCACCTTTCGAGACAATACCGTTACACGATACATATAAACCTTGAGTCTCGCACAATTCGACCGAGTCGTCTAAATTGTATCCGAGTCCCCAAGTTATCATCACCGAATTGGTAGATACTGTTCCGCAACGCTGCGATATGACCTAAATCTCTCATCATGTTTAACATTTTCTTTTAAGTCGTATCACCCTACACCACGACGCGATGCTGTGACCGATATATCTCAGAACTCTTCGAGTCGACAGCCAATACTGCGCTGAACCATGAAGGACATGTTGAGAAGGAAGCAGCCCCAGCCTCTGGCCAATCATTCCTATACATTAACCAGTCACTTCAATCTAATTCCTGGACACAGATGAATAAACATTGGCTTCTCAAATTTAGGCAGCCCAAAAGACTTGAACCCACACTACTCTACCTCTGTTAAAGAGCATCTTGCGCTTCAAAAATGACCGTAAGGTTGAGATACTCTTCGTTGTAAAATGCATATGACTTTTTGTCTGACTAACTATTGATTTGCCTTTTCAATTTATTGATAACAAGGCATTTTCTCCTCAATCAAATTATTAGGTGTTTAGTAGAGCAGGCAAATGAAATTTTGGCATCAATTTTGCACAAGATGGGTGCGGGAAANTTTTGCCTTTTCAATTTATTGATAACAAGGCATTTTCTCCTCAATCAAATTATTAGGTGTTCAGTAGAGCAGGCAAATGAAATTTTGGCATCAATTTTGCACAAGATGGGTGCGGGAAACAAATATGTACAAGTCACTCCCGTAGTCCAGGCCAAATTTTCAAAGTGGTGTTTGGCCAAGTGGAATTACAGTTGAAATACAACATTGACTATAATAAGAAGTTAGTATGGGAAGGATAACTTCCATAATGACAGATGTTGAAAAGGTCAGCAGCAGAAATGGACACAGTGAAGTACCTTTACTATGAAAACACAGTCCCATTCTAAGCCTTTTGACTGCAAGGGAAGGTAAAGAAAGGGATTAAGAAGTAAAAAAGAAAAAAACAATACAAAAGCCTCCACAGACATCGGCTTGAAAAGAAATAGCCCACCCTGCAGGGCCCCGGGGCAAGAAACATGTGGCAGTTTAGTGAGTGGAAAAACCTGATGTATTGTAGTAAGAGTAACAGAATCTTCATTGTCATGTCTCCTGGAACGGAAATTTTCTCTCTCCCTTCCAGATATGTAATCAATAAAAGCTTCGAGTACATTAGTACAGCCTTTATCTTCTGCTAACATATCTCCTTTTCCTTGTACTGTGATATAATGTGTTGTTAGAAACTCAGAAACATCATCCAGCAAATATTGGAGCACCTGCACAGTGGGCCAACCAAATTCAGCATATTATACACAAACTGAACATTCAATGCACAATTAAAGAATGACAAGATGAGACTAATTAAAATTTTGAGGCTAAAAATCCATCAGTCTGAAAGTCAAAACATCATGGACAATTAAAGTAGAAACAAGATTTGCATTGAAAAAAAGTCCTGCTTACAGATCTAACGTCATTGTCTTCATTTAGCAACTTCCCTCCATCAACATCAAGAACTGCCTGCTTTTCAAGAAGGCATTTCTGCATAAACAAAGATCATGTTCGTATCTTCATTGGAGTCCACCAGAAAGATATATCAAGAAAAAATATTACAGGAAGAAAGTAATTCCAGCATAGTTGAAGCCCATTGTATTTGAGGTGCATTTATTAAGCCTGAGGAGTTGTTTCTACTCAAATAGGTAGGAGAAAAACAAGACAAACCTGAGGTATCATGTTTGCTGCTGAAGTTATGACAGCTGAAATTGATTGTTCCTGTAGGCATCAATGAGTANGAGGTGCATTTATTAAGCCTGAGGAGTTGTTTCTACTCAAATAGGTAGGAGAAAAACAAGACAAACCTGAGGTATCATATTTGCTGCTGAAGTTATGACAGCTGAAATTGATTGTTCCTGTAGGCATCAATGAGTAAGATGTGCTCCACTAGAATATTATTTCAAATATTAGTAGCTGAAATGAAAAGAAAGAGTTCTTGGCCATTCATGACCACCCAAAGTATTGATAATATATATCTAGATCCAACTCTCCCGCTAGTAAACTCAGTGCACTACTGCAGAAGCAAAATTTTAATATAAAATAATAAGATGTGGCCTAAAGTTGCATGCAATCAAAGGCTCCAGTACTGTGCAACGCAAAATAGATCAGTCAAAATCACATCACAAAACGTAATCAGTTGCAAATGTTTTCCCCCACAATATGCAGTCAATTTCATATTAACAACACACATAAACTTGGTGTCATCTTCAATAATAATCCAGTCAAGTTGGGCTGAGTGGAGTTACCCTGTGAACAAGTTTTGATATCATGTCAAGAGTTAGCAACACCCTGCGTCCTTGGGTAAGTTGACTCCTATAAAAAAATACAGAGCAAATTTAAGTATATTGCTATGAAAATAAACATCCTGTACCAGTCTACCTACAAAAATTGTAAGCACAGATAGAACCAAAAGACAGCAAATACAAAAAACAAAAGAAAGGGACAAAATGAAGATCTTGTAAAAGCCTGCACTAATTTTCTGTGCCAACACTGGTGCTACTACTATTACAATAAGGAAAATATAACCTTGCAGAAATCTAAGTGTACATTGTATAGCTGCACCAACTCTCATACTTCCTAGATGGAGAAAGCCTGCAGAAAAACTACTTTACACCAGAACACATCCAAGAATGAAGGACCATCATCCCTCCATATAGAGCAGCCTCTTACAAATAGATGGAGGCAGTGGTTGAAATCCTGAATCTTACCCCATTTAACATGCATCAGTTTTGCTCGAGTTAATAAAAATGAAACATAAGATTATAAGACCAGTCTGGGGATTAGTAACTGCTTCTAGAATTAGTTTCTTTTCGAACCAACTGAGATTTTCTTATATCTTACCATCTTTTTAGTCAATTTAGGATTCAGAACTTAATGGTGAGACCAAGAGTGACAGAACACCACGAAAATAAACCTTCCCTACAAGGCAAGCATGCTAGACCACAACTGAATCACTGATACACATGAACAATTATAATAATTGTAAGGGAAGCAGATAAGATATAGTCCATGCTTATCTAGTAAAAAAATCATTGAGTGAAGCATTAGATTCAGTTCATTATTTAGTGAATGGAAGAAATTGAAGGACAGGGCAACAGTATCATTTTTTAGGATACTGAGCAAACATGAATGCCACAGCGGAACAACAAACTTTACTTTTACAATTCTCAAAAATATGACACATGATCCCCATCTACCAAATGGACAAATGTTCCAAGAAAAAGTCCTCAAGCTAACCTCTTGAAGGTACCAGATATCTTTGCATTAAATATATCGCATGCAGCCAATAAAAAGCTGCATTTCCTTACAGTTGAAATTTTGTCGATATGTTCAATTACCTGAAAAGAGAAAAAAGGGAAGAACAAAGATGTGATGAACCCAACAATGAGGGTTTCATGCAGGCTTCAGCTACAAACACAGTCAATGAATGTTAAATAATGCCTTACCTTCTTTTTTTCCTCTTTCTCAAAAGGTAGAAAAGCCTTGAATACTTGACGAAAAGAGCCATCATCACAACCAGCCAATGTTGTTCTAAGCAAAGCAATAATGGCTCTAACTACCTGCCCATAAGACAACACTTAGTCAGTAACCAATAGTCATGCTAGCACTGATTCGACGCTTATCAAAACATTTGTCAGAAAAAGCATGGTTATCAACGTAAGACAGGTATAATGAAGCACGATTACCACATTAATTCCATTAATAAAATTCATTCTATATTACATATCAACAGTTTGGGACATTAAAGAACTTCTACAAATCAGCCAAAGCTAGGTACCCTAGTGCAACACTCAGGAGAATCACAATAGAGAACAAAGGAGAAACCTGATTGCTTCACTTAGCCGATCCCGAGTAGTTGAAATACGGTTGTTTGGCTGAGTTGTTTTGAACTTGATTGGTAACAAGACACCAACAGTACTGATATTAGGCTACCTATGATTTGGTGTATCGAAAGATACCAAGTTACCAACAATCAATATCTTCATAAAAGATCACAAAACCACCTTAGAGTACTGCATTGTGTGTGAACTCTTGTGAGCTGGAGGAGCAGATAACAGTGAATTGAGGGTGCAATGAATTAAGATAAAACTGATAGTGTGGAAAGAGATGTTGATTGAAGATGCTTCCTTTGTTAAACATTGATATGATGAATCCTTATCTGGCAGCAAGCTAGACAAGAGCAATGTTGACCAAGTAACTGAACTTCATAGAATAGAATTCTAGAAGGTCGATTCTGCTTCACAGTGGCAGACTGAAGGGAGGACAAATCTTTCAATATTCTGTTCCATCACATCTATTTGCACAACTCTTCAGTCATAACAAAGCAAGCTTGAACTTCCAAAATTGTGTAACACACCAAAAAAGCAAGGAGATAGTATTTCTACATCATCTCTGAGGTGGAGTGTTGTCAGGTGTTATCCTACAAGTGTGATTACATTTTATTTTCTAATGATTATGCAAGTTTTAGTGAACCAGTAAATTTTTGAAGTTTTAAATCACATGAAAGATAAGATGGAGCACCAGCACCTTCCTTGTCCCTCNTTTTTTCCTCTTTCTCAAAAGGTAGAAAAGCCTTGAATACTTGACGAAAAGAGCCATCATCACAACCAGCCAATGTTGTTCTAAGCAAAGCAATAATGGCTCTAACTACCTGCCCATAAGACAACACTTAGTCAGTAACCAATAGTCATGCTAGCACTGATTCGACGCTTATCAAAACATTTGTCAGAAAAAGCATGGTTATCAACGTAAGACAGGTATAATGAAGCACGATTACCACATTAATTCCATTAATAAAATTCATTCTATATTACATATCAACAGTTTGGGACATTAAAGAACTTTCTACAAATCAGCCAAAGCTAGGTACCCTAGTGCAACACTCAGGAGAATCACAATAGAGAACAAAGGAGAAACCTGATTGCTTCACTTAGCCGATCCCGAGTAGTTGAAATACGGTTGTTTGGCTGAGTTGTTTTGAACTTGATTGGTAACAAGACACCAACAGTACTGATATTAGGCTACCTATGATTTGGTGTATCGAAAGATACCAAGTTACCAACAATCAATATCTTCATAAAAGATCACAAAACCACCTTAGAGTACTGCATTGTGTGTGAACTCTTGTGAGCTGGAGGAGCAGATAACAGTGAATTGAGGGTGCAATGAATTAAGATAAAACTGATAGTGTGGAAAGAGATGTTGATTGAAGATGCTTCCTTTGTTAAACATTGATATGATGAATCCTTATCTGGCAGCAAGCTAGACAAGAGCAATGTTGACCAAGTAACTGAACTTCATAGAATAGAATTCAAGAAGGTCGATTCTGCTTCACAGTGGCAGACTGAAGGGAGGACAAATCTTTCAATATTCTGTTCCATCACATCTATTTGCACAACTCTTCAGTCATAACAAAGCAAGCTTGAACTTCCAAAATTGTGTAACACACCAAAAAAGCAAGGAGATAGTATTTCTACATCATCTCTGAGGTGGAGTGTTGTCAGGTGTTATCCTACAAGTGTGATTACATTTTATTTTCTAATGATTATGCAAGTTTTAGTGAACCAGTAAATTTTTGAAGTTTTAAATCATATGAAAGATAAGATGGAGCACCAGCACCTTCCTTGTCCCTCATTTATCCACGTTTTCACCCTAATGTGATCTTATAGCTCTATCAAGCAAAAAAGACTGCAAACTCGTATTCACCTGGTCGCCATGTCGACCGACAGTTTCTCTTAACATTCTAAAACAATCCCAAACTTCACCACAGTTCAAGAAGTTTGAAAAGTAGTCAATTGACCATAAAATTCAATATGTATAGAAGTCTCTGAAACATTTTCATAATTGAAAGCAGGGATGCTGGCAACCTTTTTCCTATAGAAGGCCACACCATGATTGTTGAACGGTATTTTTCTATTGCGGAAGGCTGTTTGGAACACTTTCCCTGACACCTGTTGTATAGAACATGAGGCCATAAGCAGTTTAACAAATATTCATAATTCGTTTCAAGAAAACTGAAATAAAAAAAGCATTAATTTACCTGCCTCCGGTAAAGAACAGCAATATTGCCAAAGGAGCATTTACCAGTTGAACCATCAGAAGTAATTTCTAAGATTTTATCCACAACAAATGCACACTGTGCGTCCTCGTTGCTACATTCCTTGATAGCTATCTGAATAATGACATCCAAAACATGTAGAATTCATTACCAGAGTTGAGAAAAATCTTAACTTTCTCTTAAGAATATGTACCTTGGATCCACAAGAGTTATCAGTGAGAACATTCTTTGACTGGCATCTCTTTAAGTTATTTTTTATAAGAGCTGATGCTGCTTCAACAATACAACGAGTTGACCGGTAGTTTTTGTTTAGTCGAATCTGAATAAAATTTATTTTTGTTTAGACTAACACAGTTGAAAAAACCCAAACCAAGAAGTTGAGACATTTGATAGATAGGCAACATATAAACAACCTAGAAAAAGGTTTCAAGAATAAAAGTAGCTGTGGAAGGAATGCCAAACCTCTTTGTGAACAGGAAAATCCTTACGGAATGATTCAAATCCAGATACATCAGCACCATTGAAACTGAAAATCGACTGCAAAAACGATGGACAGAACATTCAAAATGAGAATAGTGGTATTAATCTACAAATTATATTTCCATTGGAAAAAAAGGGCGAAATCTGAATTTTCGAACCAAATGGTTTTTCTTAATTTCAAAATTAAGGATCCCAAACATCAACAGCACCTGATCTTCATCACCAACAATAGTTAAGCGTTTATGGGATGCAAGAAGTTGCAGCAGACCATATTGCATGGCACTTGTGTCCTGAAATTCATCTATTACGATTGCTTTCCATGACTCCTGGCATTCCTTGAAAACTTCAAACGAAGCAGACAAGTATATGTCAACAAATGATAAAATTGTGAAGTTCCATCGTTCCATTTTGTATATACAGCTAATATGAACCTTCAGAAAAATCAGTGAGCAGCTTCACCGAACAGCTGATCAAATCATGGTAGTCCAGAGCATTGCAAGATTTCAGTATGTCATCATAGTTCTGAAGAATTGAAGCCTGATCCAGGTTCTCAGCTAAGAATAGTGAAACACAAACCAAAAAGTAGACAAAGAAGATTTCAAAGTAAATTTTTATCAACTTACACCTATCACATCACCCATTTTATGGCAATCTTCAGGAGTCCTTCCAGCAGCTTTAGCCTGAAATGTGGCAAAAATGGTATTAATTCTAGTAGAAAATGCACAAATAACATGAAATTGCAGTGACAATCAAAGTAAATCTGGTATCCCAAAAACTTATGACTAGAAAAAATAGAACTTTATTGGTTTTGATGATTTTCACAGCACATCCTATTTATGGTCACTTCATTTTGTTGTCAAGCATTTATGGTCACTTCATTTTGTTGTCAAGCACAAAAGGATAAGAACCCATCTTCCTAATAAGTATATTCCATCCAAAGTCTGTGAGTCCAAGACCAAGAAAACTCAATTTGCATTCTTATTCATAGCATCTCCACCCCTTCTATGATCTACTTCTTCCTCTAAACACATTAAAAATTGCAGACTTCTCTTCGGCAATATCAAGCAATCCATTCATGTAAGAAACAGAAGAAATGTCCATTCAAAATAGACCTCTTAACATTGAACTGTTACATGTGAAACTACTGAAGCAGACACCAAATTATCACACATTTGTAAACTAGGAAAGCCAGATCAGATAAACTTCAGTCAGAAGTAACAAAAATTCCTCTGCAAACTCGAATCTTTTGACCATACAGATTGCAGTAAACTACTGACCAGATCACGTTCGAGAAACTATTTAATTACTACGTGGTTAGAGGTCAGAAAACATGGACATCCTACTGAAATAAAACTTCACCAATATACTTTGCCAGTTAATGGAAACTGGGAAACAGAAACCGAGTACAATTATAAAGAGAACCAATCCACTTCGGAAGAAAATGAGGTATAAATCTAAAGATTATTTGTCATAAAAATTTAATGTCAATATCATACAGTACTATAGTAACCAAATCACTTACCTGAGTCACAAACTTCAGCCACTTCTTTGACTTGTCTTTGAAATGTTGTGGAGAATTTATGCTATTAGACTCTTTACCAAGTTTACAAGAATCAGGATTTTGCCCCTCTTTCCCATTTTCCAATATGCGCATAGCTTCAATGATAGCTCTTCTCTGTTGCCCATGCCCGTAAATTAGAAATTCAGGTGTGCGATCCAACCTAGTGGATGGGCTAGTATGTTGTTATCCATGTTGTAAATGAATTAACAGTAACTTAATAAGGTTTGGATAAAAAGCTTTCGTAAAACCTAAAAAAAAGCTCATATGCTCTCCAATCAAAATACTCATTTCTCGTTGAGTTTACATTATTATCTCAATATGAGTTAGGAACGTGGTGGTCAACAATTTTTTAGGAAGATATGTAAAAACACCAACCATTGTGATTGGAGAGAATACAGAAAACAGATTTATAAGCCTACAGAAAACACATCTCAAGCATAAGCCTGCATGTAACTTGTGCAAAACCTAGCCTAGGATTCATGTTACTAGTCACCAGACAGTACTTGGTGAAAAGAACATATCAATAACTATCTCATCCAGACAATATGCCATATTCAAAAAATATATAAACTTACACTATGTTATGCAACAAAACACACACTAAGTTGGAGACATTAAGCAGCATATGACATGCAAGATTCAATCACTAAGTTAATCGTGTCAGAATCTAAGATGATTTAATGTAATTGGTAGGTCACTTTATGTCAGAACTTATTAATCTTGACCTTTCTGCTAGGCGCGAGTTATCACGAGTCTATGCACGCTGTATTGTTTATTACAAGCCATAGAAATCTAAGGTCATAAAACATCATTGCATTCCTGTTTAGAGAATTTCCCCAACAATTTCACAATATGCATACTTCTCGGCATGTGTACGACAGATTTGCAACGAAAATGAGTGGAATGTGCTGACTGTGAGCTCTTTTGCTACTGCCTTGCCAGCCACAGATCCAATGCGCTCTCTCATTTCAGAAGCAGCAGCTGTAGTAAATGTCATGGCAAGAACGTGGGATGGTCCAATGCCCTAGAAATTTTTCACAGCAGAGAAGCGGGAGGAAGAAACCACAGATCAAAGTCAATATTCTCATTTTTACCAAATGCCTGCAGCCCTGTCTGAAAAATAACTTAGAAACGTGAACTGAATATTTGCACAGTAATACAGTATTACCTTGCTGAGCAGCATCAAAATTCGCCCAACCATTGTAGAAGTCTGACATCAAAAACAGACAAAGCAATCTTTAACCGCAAAAAATAGGTGGATTTACAATTTCAAAAGAAAGTGTTTGTATAAAGACCTTCCCACTTCCTGGTCCAGCTACAATCATTAAAGGCATTGAAATGTCAGTACAAGCCGCTTCCCGCTGCCTGTCATTTAAAGACTGCATATACTTTGCATGCTCATCAGGCATGTCTCCAATTGGTGTAGCCTCAGAATTCCACGATCCCCTTTCTCCGACTTCTTGGTGATCACTTAAATCAACACTGGAAAGTTCCCCACTACTTTCTTCAACAGACTGATTTTGTATTCGAAAATCAGGGATCAAATTCTCCCTTCGAGATTTCCCCGCTGAGGTCTGCTCACATAAAGCATCAATATCTTTAAAGATGGACTGATCAAAATCATCATCTAAAACACCAGACAACCTTAAAGAATCACTCGAACTAGAGCAATCCAGTTGTCTCAATGGAGTAACAATACTGTTTAACGCAAAGCCATCCTCCCTGAGAACACTCTTTTCCCTTTCAATTAAACTGCCATGAACAGATTCAGCTGTAGTACCAGAATTGCCATCAGAATATGAATTGCCATTATATTCCAGTTTTGTTACCGGAGTTTCAAATGAATTTGACGCTATTCCACATTCAGTAGTGACAATTAAAGTGCTTGAGCTCAAACTATCCATCCTCGTATTGACACATAAGGACTTAGAAGTTAAACAACTTTTGGGATCATTGCTCAATAAGTTGAATCTCTTTGTGGAAACCAGAGATGGTGTGTTTGTTGAAATCTCCGAGAGAGGGAGTCTTTTAATGCCAGTAACCTCGGCCGGACTTTCCATTCTGTTGGCAATCCCATTCCTAAAACAACAAATTTCCACCGTAAGTCACATAAAACACTAACTATGTATTCATCCATCTAACAAACAGTTGCATTACCCAATGCTGGGGGAAAAAACAAAAAACACATCAATTATGTACCGCACTTTTAGCGTTGCATGCAAATCATTTTCTGATTCAAATTACGTTCTACTGGGTACGAATGATTGTAGAATAGCTTACTTTTGAACGAATTGATCGGAAGATGAGTTGGTGATTTCACGGGGCCTTTTGCGAACAAGAAGAGCCTTGGCAGCTCTGAACTTCTCCGAAATTCGAGCTTTCTGATCCTCTGATAGCCCTCCGGTGTGAACATTCTCTTTGTCATTCATCTCTGCATAGAAACAGCGAACGATTAATGGAGACTCAGCTGTGGATGAGGGTTATAGCGAAGTTCGCCTCGTAGTCGTAGATTAACCTAACCTGGAAAGAGAGGAGAGGGAATGACCCCTGTTTTGATTTTCCCTCCTACGCTGTTGTTTAAATTCTTGCGCGTTGAGTATGGGCTTTGAGTCCGCGGCGGTGGTTTCTGTTTGGTGTAGATCGAGCCTTATGGATCATTCGACACAGCTAGGGCTTGGCCCTATTGCTGTCCGCGGCTTGGGCTTTTTGCTGCATTCGTACCAGATATTTTTTGGACAATGACACTTTTATCCATAGTTTTAAAATTCGGTTCGTACATTAATTTAATGAAGGGATCGGGTCAATGAGTCACTGGTTCAACCGCTTGATCACTAGTCGGACCGGTAATATAATAAAAAATTAAAAAATAATTATAAATATTAATAAATAAGCAAAAAAATCACAATAATTATAAAAATAGCATCAAACATATAAAGTTAAGTAGAGAAAANCCGGACATTAATTTAATGAAGGGATCGGGTCAATGAGTCACTGGTTCAACCGCTTGATCACTGATCGGACCGGTAATATAATAAAAAATTAAAAAATAATTATAAATATTAATAAATAAGCTAAAAAATCACAATAATTATAAAAATAGCATCAAACATATAAAGTTAAGTAGAGAAAAATTATAAAACATATATCCAATTTCAATGTATTAAATTTTCAGTATAACTTGTAGAGTTAAGTAGAGAAAAATACATTTATTGAAGTTCAAGGCTTCAAGTCTAAGTCCAATTCTTTGACAATGTATCAATCTAAACATAATCCATGTAATTTGAACTCTTAAAAGTTCAAACTTCAAACTGTAGTAAGCAAGACACATGAAAATAAAACAAAGCACATGAATATAGCATAAAGCCACAAAAATAATTAAACCCCACGACACNAAGTCCAATTCTTTGACAATGTATCAATCTAAACATAATCCATGTAATTTGAACTCTTAAAAGTTCAAACTTCAAACTCAAACTGTAGTAAGCAAGACACATGAAAACAAAACAAAGCACATGAATATAGCATAAAGCCACAAAAATAATTAAACCCCACGACACATTAAGTTTAACGTTGCTAAAAACAAAAAAGGATCCTATGAGACAAAATGGCTCGAAATTAGATAAAATCTAAACTAACTGAAACCAACAATAAGATTTAGGATTCTAAACCCCCCTGTTTTCTCCTATTTTCTAGTGTCTTTCTNAGATCCAATGAGACAAAATGGCTGGAAATTAGATAAAATCTAAACTAACTGAAACCAACAATAAGATTTAGGATTCTAAACNGGATCCTATGAGACAAAATGGCTCGAAATTAGATAAAATCTAAACTAACTGAAACCAACAATAAGATTTAGGATTCTAAACCCCCCTGTTTTCTCCTATTTTCTAGTGTCTTTCTACTATTGTCTCTCTCTCTCTTACACACATACTCTGAAAAACATAGTATACCACTTGTCATATTGAGTGTCAAAACAGGCGATCGATAATCAAGAACCCACTGTCAGTTAAATCAAGCCCAATAATAGACATATAATGGTAAGAAAGCAAATATTCCCTCAACTTCCTCTCTCTAACTCACTTTGTTGTTATTTTCCATATACTATGCAATGTACATGTTACTGTTAGAGAGTGGAAAGATCAAACCTGATGATGTACAAATTAGTTTGCACACCACTAGTCAAGTTGTAGTATAAAAAACAGTAAGTAGAAGGAGAGAGAAAATATGATTTATAGTGGTTCGGTCAATACGACCTACGTCCACTTTGAATGGCTAGGTTCGCTAGAATTTTATTATCTCCGATGTGGAGGGAGAGCACATGATTACAAACTTTGAGAGGGGAGAAGAGAATTATGCTCAAATGAGTCTGATGCCCCCCAAGTGTTAGAGGGGCTTACATTTTATTGTAGCTTAGTGTAGTAATTGAATTACTAGTCTGACAGTCATTATGGCTTAGGATCGTTTTATAGTAATTAGGGTAACCTATCATCTTCTCAACGGGCGAGGTGTGATAGTTGGTGTGCTCTTCAAAGGACTTGATCAAGGATAAAAGAGGTTGACTGAGGCTCCTGGATGCTCCCTTGGTGATGAGGGTGAGGCTACTCCAAGGTGGTAGAGGAGGCTCTTAGATGAGTGTGCATGCTCCCCTATTGATGTAGCTCTTTGACCTTGATAAGGTTATTCCGGTGTAGACTCTTTTAGGCTTGACTAACTGGATCTCTTGGAATTGGACCTTTAGTTCAGACTAGGCTTATAACATGGTGGGCCCTTAGACTTGGCCCATCATTTGCCCCTCAATGCCCTGCGTTCATGGAACTTAGAAAGGAGGGCATTCGATTGAGTTTGGATTTTTGGCCGAACGACAAAATTGGAAAAACTTTATGAGGCTAAAACATATACTTCCAAGCCTTTTTTGGGCTTTTTTTGTCGTCGTTCATTGTCGTTGGCTATGATTTTTGTAGAGCTCTTCGAGAGCTTCGATTTGACATATTATGAGCCCCGTTTGGAGTTACAGATCAAAAGTTACATTCAAAATAGCGTACACACCCTTTTAAATTCGATTTTTTTTTTTTTAGGAAACCCTAGGTTATAAATAAAATCCTCTCATTCATTCTATTCATTCTTGATAGAGGAGGTTCTTTTTGTGAGGTTTTTGGAGACCTAAGGTTTGGGATTCTTGAGTTTGAATACTGAGTTCTTCGATCAATGGTGATTGGAGAGGTAGAGATGCAATCATCCATTATCATTGAAGAAGAAACAAGCAGTGGCCGAGCAGTCCATACCGAAACTGCTGTGCCAACAAGCACTTCTCGGACTTTCATGGGTCAAGAAGATATTGATGGGGTGAACCAAGGAGGCAAGGCGTCTAAGAGGCATGATGGGCGAAGGAGCCATTTGGGCGAGCTGGTCCCATTTGGGCGAGCTGACCAATCTATNAAGTATTGCACAAAATCTTGTGGGGGAGACCACCTAATATTTGTACCCCTAAGATATTTTCATGGCTTGGTAGCAACCAACTTCTCCCACCCTGTAACCACCTCAATGATCAATCTGCCTGAGGTCACTGTATTGCATCTTCATATACATTAATTTTGCTCACAAACTTCTCACTTCCATGATTGGATCCTGCTAGTATTTCGTTGGAGGAGTAGTTCTTCGTCGGCAAAGTGTCAAATATATACAATATTACCTCCAACATGCACAAAGGCTATTCTGCTACTTGAACTCATAACACTCAAATCAAAGTGGTTCAACCTTACAGTTGTATCCATAACGCTCCCCCTTCTTTCTTCCCCTCCCAAAAAAAAATGAAAAGAGACAACCACAATTAGAAATAGAAATAGAAGATAATAAACTCACTGTCACTTTATATCACACCTGCAGATTCAATATTGATTGAATATATAAATTATTCAAGANACTCACTATCACTTTATATCACACCTGCAGATTCAATATTGATTGAATATATAAATTATTCAAGATTAAGACAAAACCTCTTGCAGGGTGAATGCTTGATAACTGCCCAGGGTGAATACTTAAAGAGCAGACACAGGTATAAAACCTCTTGCAACATTACAAAGCACACACAACCAATTTAAAGAGCAACTACATGTCCAAAAATTATACTGATACAAAATACATGTCTAAATAACAGGTGTTGATAAAGATTTTCCATAGGAAGCTGACACCATCGATGCCAAATCCAATTCTTCATCAGAGTCGATCACATCCTCATAGTCATAGTACAGATTCANGCTTATCCTGAAAAAGACTTTGGAGTCCTTATGTCCAAAGATGGTGGTGCTACCCCGAAGTCCAGTGGCTCTTCTTCGAAGAGGAAAAGTGAGTTAGTTCCTTTGCAGTTTTCTCTTTTACTTGGTGTTTTCCATATAGGTAACACTTTATTTGCTTTGCAACTATAGACAGGAAGAAGCTTGGGTCTCGTCTCTTTGATAGGAGTTCTCCTCCTTCCAAGGTGGCGAAGCAGACTTTCAAGTTGATGACGCGCGGCGCTTTCTAAGTGACCTTGCTGCCCGAGGCGTGCTCTTCTCAACCACCTCCTCAAGTGGCACCTCGGGCGCCTTCCCATAAAGTGGCTCCTCCAGAGGCGTCTCCTCAGGCGAAGACTCCCTCAATTGGACCTTCCACTATAGAGTCTCGTTTGTTGGCCACACCTTTTGCCCCCCGTTCAGCCACCCCTCATATGGGGAACCCTGGCAGAGTACCTTCTCAGATATGCTCTATGTTAGGTAATGCACTGGTCATCAAGGATCGACTTGGGTTGTTTTTGTGCAAGAAAGATGTGGATGAGATTGGAGCCTTGGGTAAGGAGGGAATTCTTAGCTCTTTCCTAGAAGGCTGGGCTTAGGTAAGAGTTTATTTTCTCTCATTTCTCCCTTCCGTAAGCCTCTGACCTCCTTTTGCCTTCTGTTTTTCTCTAGGCTTCATCAGCATCTATGTGTTTACTTTCAAGGACCCTTATTTATCACAAGCTAGAGCATGATCATGAAGTTGTGCAAAATGATCTTCGTGCTGCTCAAGAGAGGATAGTCGAACTTGAAGGTGCTGGCAGGATTTATGACGCTGACCTTGTGGCATCCCATAAGAGGGCAACTGGACTTGAGGCTGAGCTTTCGGCGATCCATGGAAGGACGGTCAGACTCAAGGCTGAGGTTCGTGAGAGGGCCACGCTCAGTGAAGCTGAGCTTTCGACGGCCCATGGGCGGCCACGCTCGAGACTGAGCTTGTAGAGGTCCGTGAAAGGGCCACACTCAGTGAGGCTGAGCTTGCAAAGACCCGCGAGAAAGTCATGCTCAGAGAGGCTGCCCTTGTGGCAGAGGTAAAGGCTGCTCAAGAAAGAGCTTCTCGGGCTGAGGCGAACCTGGAGAATGGCGTTCTAGATTCTTTCATTGATGGTTATGAGGAG